TGATATTTTAAAATAGTATACTGCACAATTTACACATTAACAAATTGTTCAAAAGCACAATAGAGCATTGCATGCACTCCGCCATATTAAGAGCAAGTCATATAAAAATAGCAGTTCAACAAACTGTTTTTGGTTTATTTCTAACTATATTTTCCTGTCTCTTAATGATTTGTTTAGCTTTTGGAAAACATCTTTCATTGTTCCAATGCACCTTCAGATTTCGATGTTGCATATTCCTTTGTCTGTTTAAACACTTTCCCAATCTTGGGTATGATGATAAACTACATCAGGCAGCAAAGCCTCTGATTGGGAGATTGAAGGTTTTAAGGAGTGTTGAACCATGATGTTGTTCCAAGATCTATCCTGACCTGTAGTGGTAGCAGCTGTTAGGGTCCCAACTATCAGCAAATAGTAAACACCCAAACAAAAAAAAAAATGAAGTATAAAAATGCATTTTAATAGTAAAGATACCAGCAATATATTTTTAAATAAAAAATTACCAACAATACCTATTCATAGTAATATTATCAACAATATATTAACATAAAAGAACTCTTTCGTGACATTAATCCATATAATATCCTACAATTTCTTAAACTGTATTCCAAAATATAACTTCATCAAAACATAAAACACACACATCATCGCCTCTAGGAATTATGTCCACACAAAACTTGCATATGCTCAAAATTTCAGTATCATCATTCCCTATGTATAATACACACTTTTTCTAAAAAATAATAAGAAAATTTAAGTGTGTGTATTATGCACAGCTACAAAAAATATTTTTAAAATTCCTGTTTCCTAAGACGATTTCAGTTTCGAAATGACTACTCACCACAAACATACAATAATTTGACACTAAGATTCGGTGATTGTGACCCCATAAGGATGTCAAATACAATCATATGTACCTAACAAGACTTACAAATGTAAAATAAAATAAGAATTGTCATAAAACTAAATTAGAATAATATTATTCTATATTTAAAACCATTTTTTTAAATAAGAGTAGGAAATCTTGGCCGTAATGAAATTGGAGAAGTACAGTTTATAGGGTTTGATTACCAAACAAGGGGTGAGTATTATTCATGAGTAGAAGTATTTTCCCACATTTTCAGCACAATTTTAAGGGTGCATATTATGGATGAAGGTGTATTATACATGGGGAATTACAGCAATCATTTCTCAGTTATGTCTCTGTGTGTAGTCAGAGACACAGCTGGGGAAAAAAAGTACTGAGAAGTGCCCGGTCCTGGGTACCAGCTGCCTGCAGCTGTAGCTCCTCATTACACTAGAGAGAGATGATCGGTAGACATACTGATGTCAGCACAACTAACGATTGCAGGGGTTGGTGAATTTGGGGGACTGGTCTGGGTGTACATGCTTGGGTTCCCCACATTAAAGCCGACTTTGTGTCACATCCCATCTCACAGAGAAAATGAGGTAAATATTATCATGTCTTCAAATTTGAATGCAAAAAATATATTTTTATTACTTCTAAGCTCCTAAGAAAATTAAATTTCAGCATTATATGTCCCATAATGTGTTGATATACAGTTAAACAAAAAAAATCAAATCAAAGTTTAAACACTTCCCAGATAGTTAAACAAATCAACTAACTCCTACTTTAAGGGAATTTAGAAGTACATTTGAGTCTACAACCGTTAGAAAGGCTTCTGGTTGATAGATTGAAGCTTTTGAGGAGCCTGGAACCACCGTCTTTTTAAACACTTCCCTAGTTCTGGGTATGACGATAAACTACATCCGGCAATAAGTCCTTCGATCAGAAGATTGAAGGTCTTGAGGAGTGTTGAACCATATCTTAATTGTTGTTCTTCCCAGGCCCACCTTGACTCAGGGTGGTAGCACCTGCTAGGACCTCAGCTATGGGCAAAATAGTAACACCCCTCCAATCAAAAAAAGAAGTATGCAAGTATAAAAATACATTTTAATAGTAAAAATACCAGCAATATATTTTTATATAAATAAAAGACTAAGAATATATAACCAATGATATATTTGAAGGCACACAATTATGTTCAAAATATATTTAGATGAAACCATATTCAAATTATTTAGATTTCTGTATTAAATAATCCATAGCTGCTAAACAAAAGCAACCAACTAAATAACATTTTTTTAAAAAACTTTACACCCCAAGCAAGGCGGGAGTGCCACTAGCATGCAAGGGGTTACAGAGATCAGGAGCAAGAGTAAAGAAGTGTGAAAGAGGAAAGGATGAAGAGAAGGATGGGGAACAGATCAAGGCATCTGGAGATGTTGATTGGCATTGCATTGAATAGTTAGAGATTATAACTATCAGGGATGCAAGCAAGGAAGGGAGTTCCACAGACGGGAAGTGCGAGACATGAAGCTATTAGAGTAGAAGAGATGGCTACATTTAATCGTTTTGACTCTGAAAGGGTGTGACCGAGATGTCGACCTAGTGGCAAGTTTAAATTCATAGAGTTTGGGAACTAGCAAAAATAGCTCGTCGGAGCAGTTACCGTGAATGTATTTGTAGAAAAGACAGACATTAATCCTTATAATATCCTACAATTCCAAAATATAACTTAAAAAACATAAAACACACATGTCACTACCTCTATTAATTATATCCACACAAACTTGTATATGCACAAGAGCTGAACTTCATTCATGTAATCATCTCTCAGTTGTGTCCCTGTCTTCAGGCAGAGTGCATCATAGTTGTGTCCATCGGCAGAGATGCAGCTAGAGAAAATAAAATTCTGAGAGGTGTCCAGTTCTGGGGAACAGCTGCCTGCATCTCTACCCAACTCATTATACTAGAGAGGCGGAACTGGTAGTCATGCCGATGCTTGGCAATTTTGGGTCCTGGCCCGAGCGTACTCGCTCGGGTTCCCAACATTAAACCTGACCTTGATTCACATCACATCTCAGTGGGGAGGGAAATACTACTGCGTATTCAATTGTGAAAGCAGAACATATATTTTTAATACTTCAAAGCTCTCAAGAAAATTAAATCTCGGATTTAATGTCCCATAAAGTGTTGATATGCTGTTAAAAAAAAATCAAATCAAATTTAAACACTTCCCATATATATTAAGAAATCAAAGGACGAATATTTTCTATGAAAATTTCTTGGACATTCAGGCCGGTAAATGTTATTTAATACTGTTTATTATAAACAGAGCATTTACTTAAATACTTGTATCTATAAAAAAGAATGTTAAACATAAAAATGTCTTTAATAAATAACTTCCCATATAGTTAAATTTCAGTATTTGCTTGATTTTAACATCGCTAATTCATCTTGCATCTTGGACTGCCTCCTTTTGCTAATGACCAGGCTTTCTATCTTCTTACAGCTAGGGATTAGTCTTTTCTTCCTGCTTTCCTTTACTACCTTATCTAGAAAGTTCTGCAGTTTTCTTTCTGTGTCTGCCATAAACTCGGTGTTGTTTCTCGATTTGTTAAATATATTTTAGTTCCATTCACATGTTATTAAATTTGTAGTGATACAAAAAAGCAGTTATCTCCCTTTGGGGGAGATGAATTCCCATGGGTCAGGTGATAGCCGATTAGTGATGTCACTCTATACAGTCACAAAAACGGCAATCCTTTAGTTGATTTATAGGAATCAAACAAAGCAGTCATTTGTTTGGCTAAATCTGCCATCCGACTCTGCACCAGCAGATTAAAAGTTCATGGCACTGTTACTCTTTGGAAATATCTCTTCCCCAGATATAGAAAGAAGCTATCTCCAGGTAGTAGTCCTCAGTTTGGGAAAACCCAAGACTCGCCGTTTCCTGTTCGTGGAATATGTCCTCGCTTGGTACATAGTAGATGAATCCACCCAGTTTGAATATGGAGTCTTAAACATGGCTTTTCCAGAAACACAGAAGAATCTCCATTTTATATGTAAGACTGTATCTTTACATTCCGCTTTCACCCTGCTTGCTGTGTAGATATATGTTATATTCTTTCTGTCTGTAAATATGTATACATAATTTTGTGTATGATTTAGTGATATAAAACTCTCACTGAGAGCAAATTATTTTTGCATTCCTTTTCCTTACAGCCATTCATTTCTATCAGTAAAATGCGGTGTTGCTATATCTTACTTATTATAAAATGCAGATTGTGTGTGTGTGTGTGTGTGTCTGTGTGTGTGTGTCTGTACCTTTATATATTGGATCAGATTTCCTACATTTTTCAACCGATTTCAACAAAACTTCACAGGACTGCGTAAAATTGGAAAAACACAATTGTTTTTGCACGAAATCAATTTGAAAACACGATTAAGAGGCATTAATGAAAGGGGGACAACTAATATCGAGTTATACTTATTAATATCAAGTTATCAAGTTATACTTATTATAAAACCCAGGTTGGTTGTGTGTGTGTGTGTGTTTTTTTTCTTTTTTTTTTTTTGGCAGGTAGTGTTTCTTATTGTCTTGCACACTTTTTTCTTTATTTTCATTCAGAATGCTTTAAAAATTCCATTTACAAGACAATTGTTTATAATAAAATTCTATTCAATCGGTAGACTCATAACGATTGAAAACAATGTTTTTGTTTGAGTTTGGGTTTGACCAATTCGTAAAAAAATTAAAAATAAAAAATAAAAATAAAAATAAAACTAATTAAGACATGCGTGTCCGTCAACCTTAAACAATAATCTTTGTCAATTTTATTTTTCAGTCTTTATGATGGTCGATACTTGATCTATCTCTTACTGTTACATCCCCGGGCAACGCCGGGCTCTCCTACTAGTCATGGATAAAATATTGCACAAAATGTGGGTAAAAGTAAATGGGAGAATAAACCTTTTTTTCCAAAAGCTCTTCCATTATAATCTTTTTTAGAGCAAAAAAACGAATACTGTTCTGATTTCGTCAATGAAAATTTATAATGATGTTTTTTCTTTCTTTCTTTTTCGTGCAGAAATCCATGGCTGGCAAAAAATTAAAAAGAAAACAGTCTGAAAGTGAAATTATATACGACCTCATCAGCAAGCGGCAACTCAAAAAAATCCAGAAACTAATGAAGTCCCTCAATATTCAGCAACGTCAAGCGATCGTTGCGAGATCCGTGAAAAAAGAATCTCTCCTTTATCACGCGTGCGCAATCGGATGTAAGAACATCGTCAAGTACCTTGTCGTCGAATGTGGAGCTGACGTCGAGCAGAGAGGGCGACTTGGTCGAGTTAGTCGAAGCCCTCTTTTTATCGCGGTATGGAATAAACACAGCTCAGTGGTGAAGACACTCGTCAAACTTGGCGCTGACGTCAACACCAAAGATTTCTGCGGCACGAATATTGTTAGTATGGCATGGGACAACAAGCAGCTGGCCACAGCAAAGTTCCTTGTCGAACATGGCGCCACGATAAACAGCGCTGACAACATGCGCAGATCAATTCGAAACACTGATTACATTCGCTTCTTATTGACAGCCGGCATTGATGTCAATTTGACGGATGAGCTCGGTAGGCATGCTCTCATTCACGCCGCTGAAGTGGGCCAACTGCCTGTCGTAAAACTGCTTCTCCATCATAACGCTGATATTCACCATAGAGATAACTCCGGTGATAATGCCCTCAGCGTGGCGATTTATAATAATCAGCATGCAATCCGTGATCTCTTGATGAGCAGTGGATACACTGAAAAGGACATGGCACTGACTCTTGAATTTCTCGGCTGCAAACATGTGATTTTCGTCCCGCGTCTGCGACTAGCTATAAAGTACTGGCTGATGGCTCTGAAAATACGCCATGAGCTCGCAAGCGATATTGATCCCTTATCTCTGGCGAACGTGCCTGAGGGAACGATCATATCTTTGGGTCAGGAATGTCAAACGAGCTCGCAGTTGATCCAAATGCGCCTAGATCTGAAGACGATGCAGTTTCAGGCGCTTACGAAACTCATACGGATCTTCGGAGCTCAGCACCAGATAACGACGAAAGCGTTCGTTGGGGTTTCGATCTCGCTTATCTTCCGGAACGATTTTGAAACATCGTTTTGCTTGATAGAGCAGGTTCTCTTGTTTAACAAGGAAAACCAGGAACCTGTTTTGGTTTTGGATTTCTTCCGGACTGTATTGGACCGCTTCAAGTCCGCTCCCAGAAGTGATTTCGATCAGGCGTTGCATGCTTTAAAACTACTCCTAGGTTTCATCGGAGACAAAGAACTCGTCCAGCAGTCACAATTGAATCCTTTTCGCTGCAGGTGCAGCGCCGACAAGTATTACGATGCCATGCTGTTGTTTTTGGAGCTGGTCAATCTGATTCTCGAACAACAAGTGGACGCGGCCGAAGACCAAGGTCTGCAGATGAAAGTTGCCGGCGCTGTCCACTTAAACAAGCGTGCTAGTCTCAAGACGACTTTGTTGCATGCCGCTGTCTTTAACAGGTTCCCCGCTCGTCTTGTTTCACTTCTGGTTCAGTGCGGGGCCAACGTGAATGCGACTGACGAAAGCGGCAATACGCCATTGCATTACGTTTCGGAAGCGACCGATGATGAGTCGAAACGGATCGCGCGTTTCCTACTGGACAAGGGTAGCCATGCCGACACTGTAAACCGCTACGGACATTGCCCACTCTCCTCCCTGCTGGAAAAGAGGATAATAAAGGACCCCCTAGATTATTTAACGCTTCAGTGCTTGGCGGCGAGAGTCATTTGCGAAAAGTCGATTCCTTATAAGGATCAATGTCCGAAGGTTTTGACACCATTTGTGGAGAGACACGGGATCTATGGTCAGAACAAAATCAAAAGAGTATATACAACTCCTGTTTTTGGATAAAGTTTTATTGCATCCGAAATGAGAGTGTTACCGAATAAAAATTTTTTAAAATATATTTTTAAAATATTTTCCCCTAGAATTTTTGTTTTAACTGTATTTGATTGATCTGTCTATATCTCTGAGATGAGGTATCATGATTATTTATATACATGATTCGGACTGTTATCGTCATCTTCATTGCCATATTCACAATGTTTCTGTCTCTATATCCCTGAGATGTGGTATTACGATTACTTGCCTTATTTACATTATTCGGACTGTTATCACTATCTTCATTATTATATTCAAAACGTTTCGGTCGTTGTACGCTCCGGCCTTCTTCAGGTGATTGGAATTTTTCTTGTCTATATCTCTGAGATGAGGTATTATGATTACTTGCATTATTTACATTATTCGGACTGTTATCCTCCTCTTCATTGCCATATTCACAACGTTTCGGTCTCTGTACCTCTAAGATGAGGTTATCCTCATATCCTGTTATCCTCATCTTCAATGCCATATTCACGAAGTTTCGGCCTCTTTATCTCTGAGATGAGGTATTATGATTACTTACATTATTTACATTATTCGGACTGTTATCCTCGTCTTCATTGCTATATTTACAATGTTTCGGTCATTGTATGCTTCGGCTATTTTCAGATAGTTAGAACATACCTCAAAGACACATGGCGCAGTGGATAAAGACGTTGGTTAGATCCAGTAACTAGGACCAAAGAGTTGGGAGTTCAATACTAGGTCACTGCAATTGTGAACCAAAACTTTGAGACTTGAGTTAAAGGGAAATAACTGAGCCATCCGGAACTAGAACAATCTACCCCGGTAGACGATATAAAGGGTCCTATTCGAAATTCCACTCACTTGACGGAGGCAGGAGCGTACAATGACTGAAACGTTGTGAAAATTACAATGAAGAGAAGGGTAATAGTCCGAATAATACAAATAATATAATTAATCATAATACCTCATCTCAGAGATATAGAGGCTGAAACGTTGTGAATGTGGCAATGATGATGCGGATAACAGCCCGAGTGATGTAACTGTTTTAATTCCACGTGTCATCCTTCGTCCGGATTTATTAAAGTTATTTCCCTTTAACTCGACTCTTCAAGTTTGGTTCACCCCTGCTTTGGCCTGGTATTGAACTCACGATTCATTGGGTCTAATCACTGGATCTAACCAACGTCTTTATCCACTGGTCCACGTGTCCTTGAGGACGGGGATAATGATGTTGGTTAGATCCAGTGACTAGACCCGAAGAGTTGTGAGTTCAATTCCAGGAGACAGCAGTCGTAGACTAAACATGAAGAGTTGAGTTAAAGGGAAATAACTCAGACATCCGGAAGAAGCATGGCACGTGGAACTAGGAGAGTCTACCCCGGTGAACGAAATAGAGGATTCGGCTCGAAATTCCAATCACCTGAAGAAGACCAAAGCGCACAACGGTCGAAACGTGCATAATTTACCTTCGCACGTGTTCGTCTTGTTGCAAGTTACATATTCCATCTGATGTCCGTGTGCGTCCATTTCTGGGTTTTCTTTATGAAATAGCTATGTTGCTTCGGTATTCATATTATATCAACAACGAAGAAACGTATCTTTTTTCACTTTTATTTGCTTTTACCTTTTTTTTTTTTTGAACGACCTTATTACTTAAATCATCATGCCGCACAAATATATTACATATAAAAAAACAAAAAACAAAAAAAAACTGTTAGGGCAAAATTCTGTTCCCCCTTCTTAAGGAGAACACTTGCGTACGTGGCCGAATGGTAAATCACACCAGATAACGCGATGATTTCCCTTACAAAGAGGAGCGCAATTAAAAATATCAAATTATTATAATCATTATTACAGATAATTACAAAAATCTCTAAAAAATATCAAAACAATTTTCATTACATAATTTAAATTTAAAAAAATAAAAAATGTCTAAAAGGCCATATTTAGATTTATTTTATTTATTTATTTTTAATTTCAGGCTAAGGAAATGGAGGTACTAAGAAAGAAAGAATATTTTCATTTTATATGATCCCATTATAAGCATTACTATACCCTCGATATATCAACACTGGAATACCACGGGGTGGGTGGACAGTATAGCTGAAAAAATGAAATGACAAACAGGCCTTGTTCTCAAAGAGATTTTTTATACCTTTAGCTCATACAACAAATTATATACAAATATTTGTTATACATGCATATATGTGCTTTTGTTATATATACATATACGTGCACACACACACACACACACACACACACACACACACATATATATATTAGGTTGGTGCAAAAATAATGATGTAATGATGTCGTTTTTTTTACGTTAAAAAATACGTCCAAAAACGACATTATTACGTCATTATTTTTTGCACCAATATATATATATATATATATATATATATATATATATATATATATATATATATATATATATGCACATATCATTGAATAGAACAGACAAGGTGCTTTGATTTAGTTTTTTTATATACAATTTCATGTGATGTAATAATTCTTTTCGGATGATAAATTACATAAAAACTGTTCAATTGTTCTTTTTATCCGAGTGCTTTCGGCTATACATTTAGCCATTTTCAAGGTTGAAATAGATTAATTGTTAACAAGAAAAAGATTGTTGTATGTCAATGTTTATGTAATGTTTTCATTTTCAAAACCCACTCAACATATTGTGTCCATGTTCATAGTTAATATTATTATTATAATATTATTATTATTATTATTATTATTATTATTATTATTATTAATAAGGCTCCCATCATTATTTTTTTTAGAAAGTGCTATTATATTTGTGTTATCAACAAGTATGTTACTAATAGGGTTCTGCAGGTCTCCATGAGTATTTAAATGAGACCTAATTGAGCTATGGTCAAATGGTGTCAAACACGTCGTAGTATGGCCTATATAATTATTTACGAATTGTGTTTGATCAGGAATACAATTCTTTAATGGTCATTTAAATTCGTAAATAATATTTGTCCTATATATATATATATATATATATATAATAGCTGGTCACTCGTATTCGAGGATACCCGTCTACTAGGGCGGATAGCCAATCCCTATTGCAGACGCTCGCTCAGGCACATTTGTGTTTGCTCAACATCCACAGAGCCCACCTGTGCTTTATTCAGTACAAGAGTTTCGTCTACTCAATTTGACTCACAGGGCTTGGGTCAACCTGAGGTATGGTTTTCAGTCACTTTCCAAAGGTGCCACACCCTGGGATCGACCAAGATCGCGTCCAATAAATACCAGGAAGTCGTCTTCCTGACAAATCGACCATGTTGAGATTCCAACACACACACACACACACACACACACACACACACAGAGAGAGAGAGAGTTATATATACGGTGGAGTAATAGTTAGCAACTCAATTGGAATCATATTTTAAATAAAAATTATATATATATATATATAAAAATTATATATATATATATATATATATATATATATATATATATATATATATATATATATATATATATTTATTTATATTGCCGTTGCCCTCTTATTACTGAGAAATAAAAAACAAGAACAAATCTATTTCCATACTTGAGGATGTCTGTAGGAACAGACGAAAGCTTGTAAAAACAAAAAAAGACCTTATGAAACTGGAATTTATAAACAGAGATCATATCATTCATATACAGGTTCGGGGTTAGTGTAACTTACTGAAATTGTTTGCGAAGATGTATTCTCGCCATTTAAATCATTACCCTCTATATTTGTTTTTTGCATGAATGATTCATAAGTTGAACAGCACCTATAATCGATATATATATATATATATATATATATATATATATATATATATATATATATATATATATATATATAATACATTTTATTTTATATTATTCTTTATTATATATATATATATATATATATATATATATATATATATATATATATATATATATATATCGAGAAAATTGTAAAATAAAATAGAAAAGTTTAGTTGTGATGCGTTTCATCCGTTAGGACTTAATCGGTCTGCGTTTGTTGACGTTATTATGACTGCACATACGTATGAACGAGAGACGCTGGTAGTTTCAAAATTTTTTAAATAATTTATTCATTTTTTTGTAATCTAGCTAAATTTATCTATGTTCTTTTTCTTTTTCGTTTCTTCATCTTTGTTTTAAAATAACCCACACTGTGATAGCAGAAGATCTGCCAAGCCACTGGGAAAAGACTTGGCATAGCCAACACAACAATTTAGAATGTCCTGAAAAGGAGACAAACTACTGTTGTGTTGTATTGAGTAACAGACATAGAACAGGTAGCTCAAGGAAAACAACTGGAGTTGATAACAGAAACATTGTGAGAGCTGTGAGGAAAAACTCAAAACAGTCAGTGACATTTCAAACAACCTCCACAGTGCAGGGCTGAAGATTTCACAATCCACTGTTCAAAGAAGACTTTGAGAGCAGAAATATAGGGGCCATACCACGTGATCAAAGCACTTATCAGCAGTAAGAATCGGAAGTTCAGATTGGAATTTGGAAGGAAGTACAGAAAAAAGTGGAAAGCCGGGACAAATTTCCTAGCACCTTTGCATCTCTGCAAAGGTTTCCGTGTTGATTTTTATTATGGATTCTAATTTTTCATTTTTTTTTTCATTATATACCGTTCAAGAACTTATACTTGAAATCTTTAACCTTAGTGCGACACGCACAATTGATGGACAACTTAAAACCATAAGATTAAAAAGGCGGCGATGAATCACACATATAAATGCTAAATGTTTTATTAAAATCCAGTAATTCGATGAATTTTTGAAGATCTTAAAAATCGACGTACACTATCCAAAAAGGCAATGATATTTGCACAATATCATTTTAAATCTCAATTATCCTCTGTGACTTACGGCCACATCAAGTTAATACACCAG